CCGGGCTTCATAGGGTGGATACGTTTAGAGGGAAGACACTTGGATTCCTCTAGCGAGTAACCTCAAGTCGTTGAAGTTACAACCGGGAACCGATTCCCTCATCCATCATCAATAGTGAAGGAGTTCAAGACATTCGGTAAATATTTTTACTAGTATTTACTTTATAGTAACAAATCAAAATTTGTATATGATGCATGTTTTAAAGATGACGATCAGTTAATTCGCAATTAGTATGTACGGGTGTTGTATTTATACGATAAATACTTACTTTAAAAATTTTAAATTCCGCTGCGTACAGTCCGTACGGTACTAGCGAACCCAACAAATATCACATACAGATTTTTTTGGATACATTTCATTTTATCTTAACTTCCATATAATCTACCACATCATGAAAAAGTATCTACTTACAAGGAACAAATAAAATATTAGACTTAATATATTTAATATTGTCATAAAATCATATTTATATGATTTTGTTTTTAACTTTTATGAGATAGGATAAATTCTGAAAATTGAATAGAATGGATATATGGCACACTATTTATTTTAAATTTATTTATATATTTTTAAATTAATTACATCAATAAATAATATTAATGTAAATTGAATACTTATCATTATATAAAAAAAAAACATAATATGCCTGAGTTACCGAAATACATGCTTTTAAATTTGTATGATACATATTTTATTTAATTATATATATTACAAATTTCTATAAAAAAATCGATTCATATTCGGTTCCATCTCTAAAGGATTTTGTTATTATTTAAGAATTATTTATAAATTAGAGCTTTGTTTGGTTGTTCGAGACTTAGTATGTAAATAAATCAGGCATATTATATTTATTTGAAATTTATTTGGTTGTTCGTGAATATCTATTATTATATAAAGAGATAATCCAAGAACCTTAAAATAGTAACTAAAAAATAATTAGGAATTCCGCCTAGATATTAAATAAACAATAAACATGGTAGTGTGTTTGAAAATTTTTGAAATATCCCGCCTAAATGTGTTTTTGAAAATTTTGGAAAAAAAATTAAATTTGAACATTTAAAAGAAAATATCACATACAGATTTTTTTGGATACATTTCATTTTATCTTACCTTCCATATAATCTACCACATCATGAAAAAGTATCTACTTACAAGGAACAACTAAAATATTAGACTTAATATATTTAATATTGTCATAAAATCGTATTTATATGTTTTTGTTTTTAACTTTTATGAGATAGGGTAAATTCTGAAAATTGAATAGAATGGATATATGGCACACTATTTATTTTAAATTTATTTATATATTTTTAAATTAATTACATCAATAACTAATATTAATGTAAATTAAATACTTGTCATTATATAAAAAAATAATAATTTTATACGTGCTATAACTATATGAAATTAAATTTTAAAATAAAATAATATTTAAATATTATGATGAATAATAATAAGTAAAATTAATATTTATGTATAAAAAACAAGTATATGTTTCAAAATATTATTTACATTAATATAAAATGGTTTAAGGCTAATACATTGTTAAAATAAGTTTTAAAAAAAGTTTTAAAGGTACAAGCTCGACTGTGCATAGCACGGGATGCTTACTAGTTTAGACTAATAATGTATGATCATTCAATGAGATGAAGTGTATAAGTCATATTTGTTCATTAGTGTGTTGAGTTCGTAACTACTAGTTGAGGATACTTATTACACACATTTATAAACCCATTAAAACTAGTGTGTGAATGATTTTGAGTAATAAAAACATCATTTAAGACCAGAATTTAATATTTTTTTTAATTTCATTAAAGTTGATACTAAAGACCCAATAGTAGGTACTCCCTTAAAATAGAATGAGTACCATTATACTATTTAGTCGAAATAAATCTCATTACGTTTACCAAAATTAGAGTAATCCATTTTTGTTGACCAAAGTCTGTACTAATTGATTGGTAATAGATATTATCATACAATGCACCTGGTATCATGTTTAAGACAAACAAGTAACATATTACTAATCGTGATTTCTGTAATCCGTCATGTCTACCATGTCACATAGATCGTTCACGCATAAAGTGGTTGAAAAATGGGCAATTGCAAAACATATAGGTGGAATCTAGACTATTAAAGTATGATCATTCAATGAGATGAAGTGTATAAGTAATGTTTGTTCATTAGTGTATTGAGTTCATGACTACTAGTCGAGGATACTTAATTACACACATTCATAAACTAATTAAAACTAATGTATGAGTGATCTTAAGTAATAAAAATATTATTTAAGACCAAAATTTAGTATTTTTTAAGTTCAATAGAATTGGTACTGAAGACCCATAAACAAGTACTTACTAGATAGAAACGTTGCACTATTGAGTCGGTATAAATCTCATTAACGTTGACCATAATTAAAGTAATCCATGTTCTTTGACATAAGTCAATACTAAATGCTACGTATGAGGTTCTATCATACACTATACCTGGTACCTTTATTAAGACAAACAAGTACAAGATTACTAATCATGATTTCTTATTGTTCAACAAAATAGGTATTAAATACGAGAAAATGAGTACAATCAGGATACAAGATTGATACTTACACCACAAAATAGGTGCATATTAATTATCGATTGAGTGGGTATCGATATAATAAACGTTTACCAAATTGCAAGGAATTCATGTTCGTTGGCCAAAGTAGGTACTAAATCCAAATTTACAAGAAAAATATTTCACATTTTCACATCATTGTGGTTGATCTGGCTCTCGCACACCACGTGAAGGTATACAAGCACAAATGCAACTCCAAGAATTTTGTTCAGCCTTCGTTCCCACGTGTGGAATCTCATTAAATTGGTTCGGTTGCGGAGACTCCTACCCAACCTCTCGTTTTCCATATACTCCTAATCAGAAACGCAATACGGGCGATTGGGCTTTTCTCCACAAAACGGCAGCTTATGGCGGACAGCCACACGGGGGCCACAAACGCCAGGAGGGACGAGATTCTGATTCGGCCCAGTTGTCAAGGCCCGAGCCCGAGGGCCCAGCGAGGGATGACTTCAGAGTCAAGAGGGTTGAGAGAGAGTGATTTTATATTGAGTTTTAGGAAATAGTGGAAAAATCGAAAATAGACAAAAAAATTATGAACTGTTTATTTTGATAGTAAAAATATATGTAAGGGGCTTGNAAAAGGATTTAAGGACTGATTGAAATTTTGGAAAAGGGGAATGGGGATTTATGAACAAATAACTGATTTTTTTATTTTTTTATTAAGAATAACATTTAGTATAGAGGTATATAAAATTTATTGAAAAAATATAGTTACCTAGTTGTTAGACATCTAATGGCATCATGCAAAAATTCTCATGCAAACATTCATAACACTAAAAAACCAAGAGGGCAAGTAGTTGTTTAATACTCAATTTCCTTCAATGGAAATTGTATCCATTGTATAGTCACAATGACAAGGAATCACATAACATTTGGATATTAAGGGTACAATAATGTATAGTTCATACATAAGTTTGTCTTCAAATGGCACAAATAGTAAATAAGGTGATCCAAATTGGCACCCCAATTTATGGTTTTAATAAATAATTTAATACAAAATTAGGCAAGTAAGATTAATATCACTTCTCCTTTTTGTTCTCATCCATGGCAGATGTCTTGCAGATTGGGCACAAATTCTTCAATGATAACCATTTCTTAATACAGCCCACATGAAAATCATGGCCACATTTCAAACTCCCAAGATCATCCATGTTTTTGTATTCCTCCTGGTAACACACAATCACACCACTTAGGGATTTGCACTTCAAA